TATATATATATATATATATATATATATGTATATATATATATATATATTATAAACAGATGGGGGCCCCCAGGGGGGCCCCCTAAACATTTTTTTATGCATGCAGGGCAATTCTGTTCTTTTGTTTTTTTTTTATTTTTTTTGTTTTTTTATTTTTATTTTTTTTTGTTTATTTTTAATTTATTTTTATTTTGTTTGTTTATCTGTTTTGTCTATTTGTTTTATTTATTTTTTATTTTTTTTTGTTCTGTTTATTTGTTTTATTTATTTTTATTTTTTTGTTCTTTTGTTTTGTTTATTTTTTTAATTTCTTTTATTTGTTTTGTTTATTTGTTTTGTTTATTTATTTTATTTATTTATTTTATTTGTTTTGTTTATTTGTGTTGTTTATTTATTTTATTTATTTATTTTATTTGTTTTGTTTGTTTTTGTTTGTTTTCTTTTTGTTTTTGTATATTTGTTTTGTTTGTTTTTATTTGTTTTATTTGTTTTATTTGTTTTGTTTATTTGTTCTGTTTATTTGTTTTTATTTTTTTTTTGTTTTTTTGTTTTGTTTATTTGTTTTTATTTTTTTTATTTGTTTTAGTTGTTTTGTTTGTTTGTTTTGTTTGTTCTGTTTATTTTGTTTGTTTTTTTTTTGTTTTATTATATTCATTATTTTTCTTGTATTTATTATATTTATTATATTTATTATATTTATTATATTTATTATATTTATTATATTTGTTTTGTTTTGTTTTTTTGTTTGTCTTTGTCTTTTTATTTTATTTCTTTTTGTTCTTTTTGTTTTATTTTGTTTGTTTTATTTTATTTGTTTTATTTGTTTTGTTCGTTTTTTCGTCTGTTTATTTTTTGTATATTATTTTTATTCTGTTTTATTTATTTTTATTTTATTTATTTTTATTTTATTTATTTTATTTTATTTTTTTTTATTTATTTTATTTGCATTATCTATATTGTTTATATTAATCTCCTTATTTATATTATTGTTTATTTTATTTTATTTTATTTATTTTATTTTATTTATTTTATTTTATTCATTTTATTTATTTTATTTATTTTATTTATTTTATTTATTTTATTTATTTTATTTATTT